AAACTCTAATCACCATCAACGGGAGAAACTTAAAGGAAGCAACCTCTTTCACCTCTCGAGGCACCATCGTTTCAACTACAGGTGGCACAGGCACAGATGAGGACGTCAAAATCAGGATGGCACAACCAAGACAGGCGTTCATCAACCTGAAACCAGTGTGGAGATTTCTGCACTGCACTCAGCATAAAGCGTGAATTAGATCTGGATTTTCAACACCAATTCAGTCAAGTCAGTGCTTCTGTATGGCTCAGAGAGTTGGCGCGTTACGAAAGGCATTTCCAACAAACTACACATATTCATCAACAACTGACACTCAGATGGCCAGAAATAATAAGCAACAAGGAACTCGTGGAACGAACTAACCAAGAACCTATCACCTAACAAATATGCAGGTGAAGAAAGTGGAGATGGATTGGGCATACACTGAGAAGACCTACTAGGGACATCACGCGCCAGGCCAGGCCCTCGAGTGGAACGCAGATGGGAAGCGACGAGTTGGGCGTCCGAGGGTGATATGGAGGAGATGGTGCGAGAAGAAAATGAGAGCTTGTGGGCTGTTGTGGAGCCAGGTCCAAAAGACTTCAGAGAACAGAGCACATTGGAGACGTTCTATTGAAGCCCTATGTTCCATTAGGAACCCAAGGGACAAATAAATCTTATTTCTACCCCTCTCTTCCTCAAAGGATTGGTCCTCTTCGAAGCCATCACAAAAAGATTCAAAAACCATGGCAAGTTAACGCATTTCACACAGAATGGTCAACGACTGGAACTTTTTTGTTGAATACGACGGGACCCTCAGAAAGATACCTACTGCAAGGATGGACAAAGACTTAAAACACTGTATGGACCAAACCTCATTTCGGAGGTATCAACACAAAGTGTAGACACTATTTAATCTACCAGTTAACAACTCCCTGTGAGAAACAAACTTCTAAAAAACTACTCAAAAGGTGAAAAAAAATCTAGCTCCAATAATAACCCAAGGACGATGCAGCGCCCCACCATACAAAAAGAATATATCAGAAATCACGACAAGATTTCTGAGACCACTTGGAATTGGTGTGGCTCATAAACCAACAAATTCCCTCCAACCCCCTAACTATGCACACCAAAGGGGGAGCAACAACCAAAGAAGACAAACTGAATATCATTTACAAAATCAACTGCAATAATTGTAGTCAGCACTATATTGGACAAAGCGGCCGCCCCACCTTCACCTTCGTCTACATGAGCACCAATTGGCTATTAAACGCCACGACATTTCATCACTCATTGCTCAATGCACGTGGATAACAACTATGTACATGAATTCAATTTCGACAATGTAGAAATTTTGGGCGCAGGGAGGAAATATAAAGAATATCAGAGAATTTCTAGAAGCTTGGCATTCAGGTCAGTCAGTCAGCAATCAACAGACATATAGGCATAGACCCAACCCATCAACCAATAAGAAAAATGATAAACGACAGAAAGGTCAGAGGTGAAGCAGAGGAATAGCCAACAGGAAAGTCTATACAATCAATGACACCACTATCGAAGGAAACAAGTTATCACAGACCACATCATCAGAGCAAGTTACTAAATCCCTCACGGAGAAATATTGACAGCTCACTTCATACTGAAGTTAGTGCTGTGGATGATGTCGCTGTCTAGAAAGACGATGAAAGCCTCTCCACGATTAAACAACCGAGCTCCTCAGAGAACACAATATAACCAAAATCCTGAAAAAATGCCTGATGTTACATTTCGGTGTTTTAGCCCCTTAAGACTTAAAATCCCATGACAATTGTAACAGAAACATATTTCACGGAAACTCGGTTCCAGTAACCCTTAGATAGTTCGATCGTACATGTTTCCACCGAATTTTCAACAACTTCATACGGCCTCACCTAGAGTTCGAGACCATCGTCTTCTCCCCTTCCCCATCCTCTGCAAAAAATAAAAGTTAAGCTTAGAACGCATCCAAAGGCGCTTGATCAAATCTTTTCTAGGACATGAGTCTAAAAGGTATGAAGAAAGATAGTTTGTGGTGAATCTGTAATCCCTTGAATATACAAGGCTAACAGGAGACCTGATAATGACTCGTAACATTCTGAACACCCCTGGATACTCATTCTCGCCAACTTATTGAATCTCAGCTGTACCACTAATCTTAGAGGATATACACAGAAACTAAGCCTAGAGTCGTTAGACCCTAGAATGCTCCTTCAGCAAAGGTGATCCAGGCTACTTTGTCTAAATCCTTTAAACACCGGCTAGATGCTTATTTTAGATGTCAGTGGGATCCGCTCAGAACTAATCGAATTCACCTATTTTAAGCGTCACTTTATCTTATTTCCTTAGATGTCCCAATCTGGTAAAAGGGGGAAATGGGAAATAAAGAGAAAAAGTGGACAATGATGGGGATGCTGTCTATGAAATCTATAAAAAGAGGGGGGAAGGGAAGAAACGTAGACAACCAAGTGGAAGTTAAACGAATTTCCGAGGTGGGGGGAGCAGAAAAATATATATATAGGTTGAATGAGGAAAGTGACTTCAGCTGGGGGCTGCAGGAAGAGGAGACAAAGTAGGGGGAAAAGTGTAAAATGGGGAAATTAAATGCATTTCTCCCGGAATGTCACCTTATTTTCCAACCTTTTGCCCTTTGTTCGACTTATTTTCCTCTTTGACGTCTGCCTAAAGGATTAGATCACTACCTAGAAAGACTAAAAAGTTTAAAAGTTGCTGATGTAAACGAAATCAAATTAAAAATACTTCACTTTTGAAACAATAATCACCTATACAGACCAAAAAAACGGGGAAAATGATTCTAATAACAAGGAAATAAGTAGCAAGTAAGTGGGGAAGCTTCATGGTTAAATAAAGCAACATTCGTGGGGAAATGCAACCGACTTACTCATTTTTATTGCATTTCCCCGCTAAAAATTAACTTCCCTATATATATCGTGTTCACTTTCCCCCTTTTCTCATTGGATTTTCCCCCCATAATTAGTCTGAACTTCCAATTATTTATCGACTTTTCAACACTTCAACTGAAAATTACCACTGAGAAAAACAATGAACTATAATTGCATCACTTCATATAAAATAGAAGTGCACCTCAAACTTCATCTGATAATATTTGACACTAAAACACCAAATAATGACAACGTTCCAATATTCACATCTTATTTCGGTCCTCCATCTGATGAATGCAAACAGCCCTCGACGACAATTTTGGCAGTCCCTCACAAGCTGCTTCTCAGAGGACATTCCAGACTGTGTAATCAAAGTTTTTCAGGTATTACGGACTTTACACTACTCAGTCTTCAATGTTCCCAGTCTACTTTATAGAAACAGGTCCCACAAACGTTTCCTCCACCTTACTAGACTCTGAATATATTTATTAAACCACGTATGGCGATGTGAGGATCACCATGGGGTCGAACATGGAATAAATGGTGTCGTTACTTCTTCAAATAGAGTTCTAAACCGATTCCATGCGTTCTCAATTCATGACTCCTTGTCGACGGTCCAATCCTTTCCCTTGCCTGTGCAATTCCTTATACTCGAAATACTTGCGCGCCATACGTTAGGTATGGGGGAGGCAGTGTCATATCCAAACTCGTTAGTCCGAAAACCAAAGGTTAATACTACATGGTCACTGTCAGCTAATAGAGGGAAGCGTCTCAGATCCAGAATGTCTTCATATTCATGGGTTAAAACTATATCTAATAACGATATCCTGTGTTACGTTTTGAACCAAGGCAGATTCTGAAAACGTCAAGAGTAAGTCATTTTCGAAGGAACTGTCGGATATTGAGACTGTTAGCTCTGTCCATTGATAGTACGAGCGTAGAAAACTGATAGACTTTGACCCTGGCGTCTAGTTCTTACGGCTCGTTTCAGGTTAGTTGGTTCACTCCTGCAGTAGACAAGGAGATCTCCTCTACTTTCTTGCTTTCCGCCTCGGTGATGTGAATGTTTTGTGGGTTAGTAAGTTGCAATTTGCAGAGTGGCTGAGGAGCGACAGTTTCCTGGAATGGTTAGGGAACTATCGTGACCCCTGTCTGTGTAGGTACGTGAATGAGAATAGTAAGGTAGTTGTAAACAATGAAAAGAATGAGGAAAAAGGAAATAAAGAAAGGGGAGGAGGAGGAAAAAGGGAGTGAGTAAAGAAAGAAATAAAAGAGGAAGAGGAGTATCCGGGACTCGCCGAGTGGTAGAAACAGATAGCGTGGGTCTATTGCGTAGAAACGAATTAGTGGGTAACGTGGGTGTATTAAGGAGTGAGATAGTGAGCCGTAGGTAGGAGGGAGGTGAGGGTGGTTTGTTCGGGTTGGTGATTCCTTGACAGACAATGCAGACAATGGCAGACAATGCGAGGTGACATAACTGTCTAACCGTCTCTTGAACGAGTCGACTGAGGGGGCCATGACGATATGTCGCGGTATGTCATTCTTTAAAGCATATGCTCTCAGAGAGAAAAAACTGGACCTGATTATGGTGTTGCGTCTCTGGTATGCTACCTTAATGGGGTTTCCCTGTGAAGACCGCTGTGTTGCAGGCAAGACTAATGTGTTTGCGGAATCTGCTTGATGGTCGACCTTGTAGACCATAATGAGGTCGCCACTCTTTCTGTGATAACCCAAGGTGAATAGGTTCAGATGTTTAAGTCGGTAAGAGTATACCTTCCCTCTTACCTCCACAACTGATTTTGCTGCAGTTTTTTGTATCTTTTCAAGGAGATTAGAGTATCTCTTCGGTGTTGATGGGGCCACCTCATTGAAGACCTCTTGATGGGGCCGCACGTAGGATTTGAAAACGGTGAGGGAGAGTTCGAGGGTGAGGGCGTCAAGCTGTCTATGCAGAAAGTGCAGAATGTCGTTCACTCTAGTCGTCATATCTTTGTAGTTAGAGATTGGGGTTCAAGGTGTCGGAGAAATAAGTTACTAGTGTGTTTCATATATACACTCAGATATTTGATTGAAAAAGGTATACAATGGCAAAATTTGGCTTACATCAGTTTTATTGAAAGATTCTGGAATACAATCAGTAGTCGATGATATCGCAAAGTTTTGATCAATTTTGTTATCAATGACAGCCATGCCACTGTGATTTGTCATACATAGGATAGCTATGCTTAAATTCACTCTCTGAGCTAACATATTGATAGTTCCAAGACATAAAATCACAGATAAAATGACTCTTTGAGGTATACACTTCATGTTATTCCACGACAATATCATATAACACTACTCTGGTTTCGCGCTAATATGTCCAATGTCCAACAACATCCAACGCCAATAGTGCGAGTAGAGGAAACTTGCAGTTTTTGAGCTCTCGCGTCCAGTTCTTGAAGCTTGGTTCTTTTTGCTTTGTCGTTCTCCTTGGATGGTCTCAGAAGTCTTTGCGCTTTCCTGCTAATAGCTTTCGAGTTAGTGTTTGTCTATTTGAAGGTGTTTTATTTGCAAATTGTTGCTTGGTTTGTTTTAGAGGGACAACAGAGTTGCTGATAAGATCAATCAATTTTTTGCAATTCCAGTTGCTGTAGGCACCTGCAAGTAAGTGTTAAGCGCTATTTAAATAGTGATAGAGACGGTGTGAGTGGGGAATGAGAAAAAGAGAAGTGAAAAGCAGTTTTAGAACAACACATGTGACTGGTAATAATATAGAGGAGAGGTGCGTCTTACCGCAGATACTGGGGTTGGAGAGTACAAGGGTAATGCAGACACAGAAGGGCGTGTCATCGGTTACTACTAACGAGTGTTCGTGGCAAGCCATTTGTGCTCACTACTCATCCAGTAGTCCTTTGAAGGAGTTGACTGATGTAGCTGTGGCCACTTGCTTCGGCAGCGCGCTCTGTAAGGCACATACTTTGTGGGAGGAGAAGTTAGATCTCACTCTAGTCTTTGCCCTCTGGTGGGGTATGCGAGTGGGGTTCCCACGGGGTTGTCGATTTTGGACCGATAATGTTGCAGTAGGCGGGTGGTCCACTTGGTGAATGATCTCGTAGGCTGTTATCAGATCAACTAGTTTTCTTCGATAGCTTAGTGCGAACAGTATAATATCCGATATTCATTTTTTTCATTTCTTGGTTGTAAGGATAGTAGACCAGTTGGGCTGTGTTAATCCTTGCAGGAGGTATCTTTGCGAAGATCTTGTTCCTCCTTGAACGAGTTGACAGACGGCACTGATACTACCTGCTGAGGTAAAGAGTTCCAGACGTTGACAACAAGATGGGAGAAGTGCAGATTCACGCTAATTTGATTTGACAGTGGTGGTTGAATTTTCTTGTGATGCTATTGGAGATGGTCCGTCCTAGCAGGGGTGAAAGGATGGGACATACCAGTACCGAAATCATTATTAAGAATACGAAATGCCAGTATGAGATCACCCCAGTTCCTACGGCAAGACGGTAGGAATAAGTTTAGCTGGTCTGGTCGTTCCTCATAGGACAGATTCGAAAGGCCTACCACAAGCTTAGTACTTACGCTTTGAACACTCTCGAGTGCGTCAGCTTCCTTTTGTAGGCATGGGCTGGCCGTCTGAATGCAATATTCCAAGTGAGGTCGAAGGTAAGTAGACCAGAGTATTCTGAACATGTCCTGATCAAAACATTTCAAAGCTCTGCGGAAGGACCATAATAAGGGGAAGCTCTGTGCTGCAGCTGAATCATAGCTTGTCGAGGTTTTTAAATCCTGACTAATGATGACACTCAAGTCTTTTAGTGGTGTACCATCGACGAAATACTGGAAACAATCCCTATGACCAATGTGCATTATTGCACTTTTGTTGGAATTGATTTTCAGGCACCAACGTTTGGACCAACCTACTAGTTCATCTAAACCCGCCTGAAGTACATACCTATCTGCATCACTGCGTATGGCTCTCCAAATCTTTACATAATTGGCGAATGACAGCACTGAAGAGTTGAGCGTATTTGGCAATTCGTTGATATATGACAAGAAAAGTAGTGGACCTAGGATTGTTCCTTGAGGAACTCCACTCATCACAGGTTCCCACTCAGATAGCATTCCATTTACCCTTCCATCGTACGAATGGTCCGTAATCCAGGCTTGCAAGGAAGCACCAGACCAGAAGATGGAGAGCTTTCCCGGTAATTTCACGCGCTACACTTTGTCGAATGCCTTACCGAAGTCTATAAACGTAGCATCTACTGGCAGCTTGCAGTCGTGGGCTTCAACCCATTCCTCTCTTGCGATAATAAGGTTAGTTAGACACGAGTTTCCAGTACGAAAACCGTGTTGTTGTGGTGTAAAAGACTGGGTGAGTCCACATGTTTAAGTACCGCGTGACGAATTATTTTCTCTAAACTCATGACAACCGTGCTAGTCAGACTCACAGGGCGATAGTTAGACACCAAATAGAGACTACCAATCTTAAAAACTAGGCTGATTATGGCATCTTTTTAGTGTGTAGGGGGGTGAGTTTTAGTTGCGGACATATTGAAAAGATCCGCTACTGGTTCAGCAATGATGTCCGCTAGCAAAGATAGAAGTCTGGGATATGGTTCACCGGGACCCACGGACTTTGCAGGTTTAAAAATAAAGAGATGTAAGACACCTTCCCATGTTGTGAACATTGTGTCTAGTAGTGGAGCAGTGCTGACACCACTATTAAGCGCTCCGTCATCATGATCTACAGAGTAGACTTCACTAAAGTAATCCGACAGATATTCAACTTTAGACAGGTTAGATTCCTCCAGACTAACAAACTTCGCAGAAGAATTCCACCCTTATTTCCAATCACCCTTTCGATGAATGCGAACAGCCCTCGACGACAATTTTGGCAATCCCTCACAAGCTGCTTCTCAGAGGACATTCCAGACTGTGTAATCAAAGTTTTTCAGGTATTACGGACTTTACACTACTCAGTCTTCAATGTTCCCAGTCTACTTTATAGAAACAAGTCCCACAAACGTTTCCTCCACCTTACTAGACTCTGAATATATTTATTAAACCACGTATGGCGATGTGAGGATCACCATGGGGTCGAACATGGAATAAATGGTGTCGTTACTTCTTCAAATAGAGTTCTAAACCGATTCCATGCGTTCTCAATTCATGACTCCTTGTCGACGGTCCAATCCTTTCCCTTGCCTGTGCAATTCCTTATACTCGAAATACTTGCGCGCCATACGTTAGGTATGGGGGAGGCAGTGTCATATCCAAACTCATTAGTCCGAAAACCAAAGGTTAATACTACATGGTCACTGTCAGCTAATAGAGGGAAGCGTCTCAGATCCAGAATGTCTTCATATTCATGGGTTAAAACTATATCTAATAACGATATCCTGTGTTACGTTTTGAACCAAGGCAGATTCTGAAAACGTCAAGAGTAAGTCATTTTCGAAGGAACTGTCGGATATTGAGACTGTTAGCTCTGTCCATTGATAGTACGAGCGTAGAAAACTGATAGACTTTGACCCTGGCGTCTAGTTCTTACGGCTCGTTTCAGGTTAGTTGGTTCACTCCTGCAGTAGACAAGGAGATCTCCTCTACTTTCTTGCTTTCCGCCTCGGTGATGTGAATGTTTTGTGGGTTAGTAAGTTGCAATTTGCAGAGTGGCTGAGGAGCGACAGTTTCCTGGAATGGTTAGGGAACTGTCGTGACCCCTGTCTGTGTAGGTACGTGAATGAGAATAGTAAGGTAGTTGTAAACAATGAAAAGAATGAGGAAAAAGGAAATAAAGAAAGGGGAGGAGGAGGAAAAAGGGAGTGAGTAAAGAAAAGAAATAAAAGAGGAAGAGGAGTATCCGGGACTCGCCGAGTGGTAGAAACAGATAGCGTGGGTCTATTGCGTAGAAACGAATTAGTGGGTAACGTGGGTGTATTAAGGAGTGAGATAGTGAGCCGTAGGTAGGAGGGAGGTGAGGGTGGTTTGTTCGGGTTGGTGATTCCTTGACAGACAATGCAGACAATGGCAGACAATGCGAGGTGACATAACTGTCTAACCGTCTCTTGAACGAGACTGATGGGGGATTTTGACATCTTATCGCTCAGGGACAATCCGTGTAGCCCACTTTCCAGGGACGTGTAAAATGTAACCAAGCCTATTATTATCCTTCCACCCTGCTATACTATTGGGGTCTTTTCTGAGTCCAAAAGATATACTTGTGTTCAACGTCTTCTCGTGGTCACGCAGAAATTCATTGATTTCTTCTGTCCCACCTCTAAGTCTTGCAGGGCTGTTCTAGATCTTTGGGGGGATTCCGATGTGCAGTCGGTGTGTAGTACACTTTCAGACGATCCCAATGCAAAAGACATATGTCGAGTAGGGGCCAGCAAAAATGGCTTATTGAATTGGGGTGGCTTTTCAGCTGTTGTCAGTGAACCATTACTATGTGGCTCATGGCAGCTCGGTGAGAACGGAAAGCCTCTCTACCGAAATCGCCAAATGCTGTAAGTGGAATTGCATTTGTGATTTGAACTGATCAAGTGAATGCCTGAATATGGAGGAATGTGATACAGTGTAAAATAAATGTCCAGCCTCGGCTAAAAAATAATTTTGCGCAGCGTGAAGTCCATCACCGGTGATATTTTAGCCAAATTCGGGGGCGAGAGAGGTTCCAAACCGTGGATGCATGCACACTGTCGTAGTCGCAACAAACGGAAGCGGGAGGAGGTGAGGTAAAATCTTCTCGCACATTGCTGTTTTAACGCTTGTATCTTCCCGTTGGTATACGAGTTCGAACTACTCGACCTTAGTTGGAGGATGGGCTCCTACGCGGACGTCTTGATACTACCGCATATTCATGGCTTTATCTCCATTAAATGACCAACGGAGACGTCTAGAACGCGCGTTTCGTCCGATTTTGAACTTGTCAGCCGGATCAGTGCGACATCGTGAACACCCAGCACCTTCAAGGCGTGCGTGTGGGAGCCCATCTGTCAACAGGCATCGAGCGATTCGGCCCTGCGCAGCAACGGGCAGTTGCAGGCATCATGAAAACAATTGACGCCCGTTGCACAATGGGCGGGTGTTGTCTTTCAGTAGCTTGGTGGATAATGTCCTGGGGTTTGAATCGATGGGTGTTGGGCTAGATCGTCAGAGGAAACAGTGTCACTCGCCGAGCCGCTGCTACATGCAATCGATTAGTCCAAAGCAAGATCAGATGCTTTTTGTGACTTCCCCTGCTGGTCACCAAGATCTATACAACATCTTTTACACATATTTAGAAATGGTGAGAGTGCGTGGAAAATTGTGACTGAAGTTCACAGACAACT